GATGAAAACTACTGTCATGGTTTTAACACTTTATCAACACTCACACAGGCTTTCCATGTCTGATCTAAGAAATACATAAAACTAAATTAAAGCTAATAGCTGGGAAATTAAACCATAAAAACAAACAATCACTAAAACACACTGAAGGGGTTTATTGACTGGTGGAGATTCCGCTATAAAATGTATAAATTCTGCAGCTCTGAGGTCTGGAGCTGCGTGTGTGTGTTCGAGACAGCGAGTCAGTTTATAAGCTTAATAAGTGCAGCTTTCTGCGCTCCCATTAGCTCATTAACGTTACAGCACATTCAAAGCATTGGCAGAAAGAAGGAGGAGGAGGAGGGTGGTGCTGGTGGGGGGAGAAAAATCCCTCTTAACCTCTTTTGCTCCCTCAAAGGAAGTGCATGGAAAAAAGAAAAGAGAGAATGAAATAAAAAGCTCCTTCATCTCTGTAGGCAACCCAAATCCTCGCCGAGGCCGCGGCCAAAAGCCAAATTAAAAAGGGCGGAGTGTTGGGATGTTTGACCGGCGCAGCCCGGAGCGGCCGGAGGTTCTCCTGCCATTTGTCCCCGTGCTCTCTGGCTTTTAGGGGCTTCACACCAATTCAAAGAAAAACGAGCGCACACACGTTTTCGTGTCTCCGTGAGGACTGACGCATTCCCAGCTAATTCCAACCTAAACCTAGAAGCGAGTCACAGATATCAATCTGCCCTTTGAAGGGTGTGAAGCTTGTGTTTGAGCTCAAGCAGCTTTCGTTTTAATTTTGGCGGCTCAGAAGTTATTGTTGGCGTCAAGGTTTATAAAGCGCTTGTAAAAGATGTAATGGCCAAAATAAAAGCCACAATTCATCGGCCGTGCAACACGACAACTGTACTGAAACACAAAGTAAACAGATACAGATTTTGATAAGAAAACATCGTCATATAGACCCACCAGCAGAGTCCAAAATCAACTGGACAGTAACAGCTGCCAGAGCGCAGCGTGATCTGTGAATTAGCCTGGAAGAAATATCCAGTGAGATCCACACATTACAACCAGGCTGCAGAACAGCATCTCTGGCTGCAGAAGAGCATCTCTGGATGCACACGGCAAACCTCGAAGCAGATGTGCCACAGCAGCAGAAGACCACACTGGGTCCTGTCAGCTAGGAACAGGAGTCTGAGCTACAGATCACCAAAACGTTTCCTGATCTGATGAGTCGTGGTTTCTGTAGCAACATTTGGATGAATCTGATTAGAAAGATTGGATCCATCCTGCCTGTTTTATTGGTTCACGTTGCTGGTGATGATGTAAGACATCACAGCCTACCTGACTACTGTTGCTAACCGTGTCTGTCCCTTTATGAACTCACATGATGTCAACAGATTAGTAGAGAACAGCAGATTTGCATCTGTGTGATGCTGTTGAGTCAACTGGTCCAAAATCTCTGAGAAATGTTTCCAGCACCTTGTTGAATCTTTGATTTGAAGCATTTCCAGGGGCACAAAGGGTCCAACACGTTACCAGCAACTAACAAAATAAAATAACGAGTAATTAAACGACTGGAGAGTTTATATCAGAAGGTAACTGCAGGGTTAGAAGCTGTGCTCACTGTCGTTTGCTTTTCTCATTCTGCTGGGATTTCAAAGCTGACTGCAAACAGTAATTTGAAATGAAGTCTGAAATGCGTGACCCATTAACACCCGTGAAGAAAGTAGCTTTTGCTGGTAGCGCGTGGCCATTAAATCACTCAGTGCTCCTGCAGCCGTCGATGCTTATCTGCACTTGTAAACGAACTTTGTGGAGTTTGAAAGGGAAGTGTTTAAATTATATAATTGTTTAAATTAGCGTGAAAAGTGAAGCAGTTGTGTTTTGTAGCTTTTTTTAAAGGATTGCTGGTTAAGCCGCTGTAATGAGCACCCTATTAGGAAATGGCACTGAATTAAGCTAAATTTACTAAACATGTGTGAGTGCAGGCAGTCCAACACTATTTTCAGCTCATCCCTGTGGGAAAAGACTCCAGGAAGGAACCATTCAGGCTTCCTGGGTCAGAGGTTAAACGGGAGATATATCTTCTGACTTCAGGAACTTCACACGTCTCGTCCCTGCTGAACTTTGGTTTTCTACGTAGCCTCCGGTCTCGTTCGTTGGGGTAAAACCATAATGAACATGGGAAACCGCACCAGGGATGAAGTCATGCGCTGCCATTTCGGTTCAAAAGCGGCAGCGCACGCTCGCAGGGCTGATCACACGGCCCAGAGCATTAGCGAAGGCCTGAGAATGGAGGCGCAAACAGCTGTGATTAAACTGAGGGATGACGATCCTCTGCTGAGACACGGCCTCATTTGGTCTCCCGGTGGCCTGCATACTTTGGCTTCCAGCAGGCGAAATGCCCCCCAGGGATCCTAAAATACACAGCAGGCCAGGTCTCAGCAGCAGTGGGAGAGGGGACGATAAGAAGGGCTGGGGGCAGAGCTGCGAGCCTGGAAAAGCTACTCAGCCTCAAACAAGAGCAACTTTAACCTGTGAGAAACGCTCAGACTCGAAGCTGCTGTCGGGCTAAATTAAGGAGGAACAAAAGCTGACAATGCACAGATTCACAGGATCGCCGTGTGCTTTCCCCTCTGCAGCCAGCGGCTCTTATTTAGCTTTACTTCATCCTTGGAACTCCTAAATGAGTAGCAGGTTTAATTTGGGAATCACCGCTCGGGCCGCCGTGGTCACAGAGGTCATCGCGTGCGTTGATACTCAAAGCTCATGACTGACGCACACTGGCCGTATGATGCCACCGCATTAGTTAGTGCCACACTGACAAGGGGACGGCTTCAGGCATCTATCAGAGAAACACAAACACACTCTGGACTCACAATGACAACAAAGGCAAATTAAATTATTTTATTTCTCTCTTGAATCAGATGACATTTTAGTGATACTACGCACAACACGTGAGCCCTCAAACAGGACGCGAACAAACAGGATCACCTGACGCAGGAAACCGACTATAACAGGGCTGACGACGCTGGCTCTGACCCTGACGTTTAAACATTTAAATGAGTTTACTGAGCTGCTTCCAGTGAACAGCTGATGCTTCACTTTAAAGAACATCACCCTGTGGTTTGTGATTTCGGTCATCACTAGGTTGTTGTGTTTTTTGGACTGGAAGCCGCCACATGTGAGAGCAAACTCCACTGGAGGTGAATCACAGACACAGGCCTGCAGCTGCCTGCCTCACATTCACCTCCTGCCACTCAAAGCGGACTCGGCCCGACTTTAAACCTCAGCAAAGTTTCAACAGGTGAGGTAAGAAAGAAAAGAAACAGTAAAGTTGTCAAAAAGGTCAAAATGAAACTGTTTCTAGTAGCAGGCTGTTAATGTGCTTATTTCTACTGTAATGCTGCATTTTAACACGCGAGTCTGTGGGTACATGACTCATCTGGGGGTGGGCCTCAAGTGGCCACTGATGGAACTGCAGTTTTTCTTCATTTTTCAGCCCCACAGGTCAGAACTGGACGTGTAGAAACGTGAAGAAGCATAAAAATGTTCAGCATGTTTCTGCTTACAGCCACATTACAGCGTGTTATATGATGTTTATCAAATCAAATATACTAAACTGGGGATTTAAGGTGAAACATTAGCAAACGATGGCACATTTGTTACAAACGGAGTTACAGCTGACGGCGAACGGTCCACGAACGCCTTTCAGTGTGCACGAGTACTAAACAGATGCTCCACCAAAGACGAGTGTGTGTTTGTAGTTTCACCTGGTGACAAAGTGCACACGTGTTGATTGGCTCGCAGCCGTCCTGATGGGGGTTAAAATAAGGCTCAGGTCCCGCCGTCTGTGCATTAAGACTTTGCTGTTGCTCCCAGCAGATTCTGCTGTGCCAAAAAAAGAGAATTCTGGCGCTTCGAGTCGTGATTTAAACTTTAATGTGGAGGAGAAATATTTCAGTTTCACAAGTGTAAAGTGACAGTCTGTGAAACGGATTTGTTTTGGTGCTGACAGCTACTGATCTGTATCGCTGTAGCTCTACGGAGGCCTGTGAAGACTCTGCTCTTGTAAACACGGGAGAGTTCAGAGGATGATCACGGTCATCATCTGAGTCTGGGGAAGATTCTGATGAAGAGGATCATGCTGATAAAGGTGAAGGAGACTAGGATGAGCATCAGCCACAGCAGCCAGTTCACAGACTTCTTAGTGTGCTGCTCCAGCCGCTCGGACTCCGTCTTCAGCTTCTCGAAGTTCAGGTCCGCCTGACGCATGGACTGGCTCAGAGTCTGGAGGCAGAGGGAGACGTCGCCGATATAAACATCAAAACCACAGACAAACAAGCCGCTGACGGGAACACTCACAGTCTTTATGCACAGTGTGGCT